CGAGCTGATCCCGGGGCCGACCCCGGCACGGAGCCGCAGGCGCCGGGAGCCCGAGTCGCCGCCGGCGCCGGCTCCGGTGAGTGCGTGAGGGGTGCGGGCCGGGAGACTTTCTTTGTGAAACTCCGTCCTTGCGGGCCGGGCCTCCGCGGCTCACGAGTGCCTGGGAGGCGAAAGCAGCCCCGCTGCCCGGGTTCCATCACCGCCTCGCGCTCTTAGGCGGCGGGAGTCCGCCACTCGCTCTTATCAGTTTCCGCGGGATTGTGTGTGCGCGCGCGCGGGGGGGGGGGCAGTATACAGTCGGCGTCTACCGCGCGCGGCGCGCCCCACTAGCCACGGACCCCCGCGCGGGGGCGGCTGCCTGAGACCGGGGGTCCACGTGAGGAGGGGATGGCGGTCGCAAGGAGGCAGGTGTCCGAGCAGTCCGAGGGGGCTAGTTGCAGCCAGCTCCAGGTGGGCCCCATAGGGAGTGAGCTGCCCGTCGCTAGAAGGGAGTAAGTCTGTCAGTGATTTTGGAAAGCGTTCCATTCACCCCAGCTTCGTGATGTGTTTGAAGTTACCGATCAGGGTGAAGGATGCTGAGCGAAGTAGACTTTGGAGGTGAGGCGGCCAGTGGATGGGATGGGATGGGATGGGATGGGATGGCCTTGAGTAAGGGCGTCTCAGAGCTTTTCTTCAGGTTCCTAAACCAGCCAGGGCATAAGAATAATCTGGAGGGCTTGATAAAAATACAAGCTTCACACCGCACCTCAGGCCTATGGACTCAGACTCTCCAAGGCGGCAGGGGCGCACATTAAAAAATTTTTTTAACCAGCTTCTGAAGTTGTCATTTATGATCAGGTGACTTTGAGAAGCACTGTTTTAGAGAGTAAGCCTCCTGCAAGCAGGGACCTGTTCTGTTTATAGTTCATCTTGGTGCTTAGGGCAGTGCCTGGCGCATAGTAGATGGTCAGTAAATATTTGTTGTAAGACTAAGTAACTAGGGAGTTGCCAAAGTAGGAGTTCTTGAGATATTTTCAGGAGCTTCTTGAGATTATTATCTCTGTCAGATTTCCTGTGTATGTGATTTTTTTTGCAGCTCCAAACTTAACTTTTGTGTGTGTTTATAATGCCATATTTTCCAGTATGTTCTAGGCAAAAGCAGAGTGTACATTGCTTAGCATAAACGATCAACTATGTATACTCTAGCTAGTTTAAAATTAATTCTGAAACAAAATTCTGAAACAAAAAATGCATGTTACTTTCTGCTCACCATTTGGGAAACCTAGGCTATACAATTTTATTTCTTCCAGGCAGGTAAATATTTACATTTCATCAAAGCAAATC